AATTTGGTTCTGTATGTTCAGTTTAAGAGGGGGAAAAAATTGCAAAGTGAAAAAAAAAATACCAAGAACTATATTAATCATGAGTCTCCAGAACACCACCTCCTAAAATTGCCCTTGCTTTTCTTCAAATGAACAGATACCCTTTCAAGGTTAGCCAGTTCAATCAGACTCCCATACAGATCTGCAAAATACAATGTTCCAGAGGCTATTTTTCTAAAGTGTATATTAACATCTGGCCACTCACATAGCTCCTACTGAAAATGTTCTATGGCATATTAATAAAATCTTCCTTTAAAAAGGTGGATGACTAGAAATAGCCAAATTCATGACCAAGTATAAGCTAATGCTTTCCCCCAAATTGCACAGACATAAAGGACAAACTGAAAATATATTTACAGTGCCTATTCCATTTAATTGGACAGTTACCAGTTTCTAGCTAGATCTTGTTTGATGTTGTACTCTGTACAGTAAGTCAAAGAGCCCAATTCTACAACCTTTAAAAGAGAGACAGACCTGCAGAATCAGGACCCAAGTTTTAAGTCTTTAGTAGATTTTACAGTTTTCTTTTTGTGCGTTATCACCATTTCATCTATATCATGTCTCAAGTTTCTAGTTCTATCTTCTCTAATTTTAGTCAATGAGGACTTCACACTAGATAGCAGTTACCTTCTGTGCAGTACAAAAGGAGGCTTCAGAACTCCTGTGTAGTTCAGAACGTCAAGGTCAACAGCAGGACTCTTAAGAATTCTAGATATTCTAGGAGTTGGGGCTTATCTAGATTATCTTTGAAAATTTTGATTTTTAACTACTTGATTTGTATGTGCCAACTATAAATACAACCCTATGTAATGTACAGGGTTTCTTTTAGGATTTGAGGTAGAATCTACGTTCCACAAGAGAGTTGATTCAAAGTAAGATAGTCCTTCTCAAAGCAAACCAATGAAATAATTTTTTTGCTCAGTTTTATAGACTGTCATTCCAAGACTACATATATGCATCCGAAGAAGTGGGTTGTAGCCCACGAAAGCTTATGCTCTAATAAATTTGTTAGTCTCTAAGGTGCCACAAGTACTCCTGTTATTTTTGCGGATACAGACTAACACGGCTGCTACTCTGAAACCTTTTATAGACTGAGTTATCCTAGAACATAAATGTTCTGGGTATATGGGGACAGTGGAAATGAAATATTTTATAGCTGGCTGGATCTATTTGCATATTGATGGTCCGGGTTTTTCCTTTTTTTAAACTATTGACATGACTTTGTTTCTAAAATACCCATTCTGGTGTCTCATTTTTATTTGCCATCCAATATAGTGGCTGCTTCATAGTAAAAGAAGTAGGAACGTTCCACAGATGTGGAAATCTAAATCCTACCTCTTCAATGATTTTAGATGTGTGTATATATCTTCCTACTGTATTTTCCACTGCATGCATCTGATGAAGTGGGCTTTAGCCCACAAAAGCTTATGCTCAAATACATTTGTTAGTCTCTAAGGTGCCACAAGTACTAGTCGTTCTTTTGACTATACACTGATTTTTCCAATGGTATGGAGGCAGTGCTGTCTAATGAAAAGAGAATAGAAATGAGGTACCGTGTGTTCTTGAGGAAAGCAACACTGCGTCTCTCAGTTTGCCTATCTAATACTCAGATGGGCACCATATAAAAGCCTAGATTGACTTGGGAAATAGTGATAATTCTTCCCTACATCACAGAGCTGTTGTATAGCTTAATTCAATAGTGTGTGTAAAGTGATTTGAAATCCTTGGGTGAAAAGTGTAAAGTATTATCATGGCGTTACATTCCTTAGGTCACTTAGGACTATTTTTGACAATCACACCATGACCAAATACCAAACTGCATAGTTTCCATGATATCCGCTGGTAACAATGCCGTAGAGCTGTATGTGGTGCAAGTTCCTTAAAATAAATGTCACCTCTCCATTATTATTTTATACTGCCCAGAGGAGTACTAGGCACTTCACAGAAGGGGGGGGGGGTTGGGGGGGGAGGGGAACAACACACACACACACACACACACACACACACAGTCCTTCTTAAAAAAGAGCTTTTGCATGGGACACACTGAGTGGTGGTGAGAAATAAATGGGGAAGGGAATGAGTCAGGGAAGGAAAAAGGTCACAGCATTACAATTATGCAGTTGCTCAGTTTGGACATGCTCATCTCAGGGTATGTCTACACTACGAGAGTAGTTCGATTTCACTTAAATCGAATATGTGGAATCGATATTGCAAAGTTGAACGTGTGTGTCCACACTAAGGACAGTAATTTGACTTTGTGAGTCCACACTAACGGGGAAATCGTCGACATTGGAAGCGGTGCACTGTGGGCAGCTATCCCACAGTTCCCGCAGTCCCCGCTGCCCATTGGAATTCTGGGTTGAGCCGCCAATGCCTTCTGGGTAAAAAAATGTGTCGAGGGTGCTTTTGGGTAACTGTCGTCATCCGTCCGTCACTACCGCCCTCCCTGAAAGCGCTGGCGGGAAATCAGTTCGCGCACTTTTCTGGTCAGTGACAGCGCGGACGCCACAGCACTGTGAGCATGGAGCCCGCTGCGACCATCGCTGCAGTTGTGTCCGCCTCGCAGCTTATCATCCACCTTTCCCAGAGGCAGATGCAGATAAATCGGGCGAGGAGGCTACGGCACCGCGGTGAGGGCCTGAAGTCTGAGAGTAGCACAGGCCTGTCAGAAAGCACGGGACCCAGCGCCGAGGACATCACGGTGACAATGGGTCATGTGGATGTTGTGGAACGGCGATTCTGGGCCCAGGAAACAAGCACGGACTGGTGGGACCGCATAGTGCTGCAGGTCTGGGATGAATCCCAGTGGCTGCGAAACTTTCGCATGCGGAAGGGGACTTTCCTGGAACTTTGTGAGTTGCTGTCCCCTGCCCTGAAGCGCAATGACACCCGGATGCGAGCAGCCCTGACTGTCCAGAAGCGAGTGGCCATAGCCCTCTGGAAGCTTGCAACGCCAGACAGCTACCGGTCAGTCGCGAACCACTTTGGAGTGGGCAAATCTACCGTGGGGGTTGTTGTGATGCAAGTAGCCAACGCAATCGTTGAGGTACTGCTTAATTCGTTAGCTTAATTCAATACCTCAAACACAACAGAACAGCTGGTGCTGATTAGTCTCAAGAGCATCAGCAAGACTCACATAGTGAGATTTAGAAATGGGACAGAGTACCATTTTCACTGGAGCTCAGCAAAAGTCTCAGAAATTTCATTCCAAGACTACATATTGAAAAATGACCTCAGCCTGGCACAGTGCAATGAATTACCATTTAGCAATACAGGAGAAACTCTCAGCACTCACTTGTTGTCTTTCCCACACTGATGACTTAGCCGATTGGCCAATGTCTTAAGCAACAAAGTTAGACACAGATTACTTGGTTGTGCACCCTCCCGCATGTATCAGTTTTACATCAGTGTGTTTCCATTTACTTCATTGGAGTTACTCCTGACTTCAGTGCAAACAAGAAGGCCAGAATCAGTACTGCAGATAAAAGGATGCTCAAAAGTTGGAGATCAAGTAATTAATGTAACTCCACTGAAGTCAATAGGCATAAAACCAGTGTAAAATTGGTGCGTTATCAAAATCAGGCCCTAAACACTTATAAAGTTTCTTCCTTTTGTTTTGGATAAAATTACTGATGCTACCTATATAGATCTCCTTTTGGGAAGGTTCACAGGCTGATTTTCAGATTACCAGCAGATCTATGTATCTCATTGATCCCCAAACGGGGGGGGGGGGGGGGGGGGGCACAGGGCGGGGCCCAGGTCAGCTCCCACGGGGGATGGGGAGGGAGCGCCACCCAGCCCTGCTCCACCACCAGGCCCACTCAGGCCCCAGATGTAGCTCCGCACCCTGCCCAGCTCCGGCCCCAGCTGCAGCTCCATTCATAGGTGCTGGAACTAGGGGTGCAGGGGGGGCTGCCACACCCCGTGGCTTGAGGCGGTTTCCATTCTATACAGGGTTAACAGTTTGGTTCCATGGCTCTCAGCACCCCCACTATAAAAATTGTTGCAGCACCCCTGGCTCCACTCTGCCCCCGCTCGGCCCCAGCCCTGCTCCAGCCCAGCTCTGCTCTCATTCCCTCTCCACCCCCAGCCCAGCTCCACCTCTAACCCCAGCTCCTCCCCATCTCCAGTTCAGCCCCCAGCTCCACCTTCAGCCCACCCTCCTCTGCTGAGCCAGCTGTGCAGTAATGGGGAGGGGGAGGGAGCACAGACAGATTACATTACTGGTAAGGGGGGCATGACAAAACGTTTGGGCATCACTGACATATATGAACCAGCAATATCATTCAACTTCTCTGTACCATGAAGTGTTAAATCTCTGGGCTAGATTCTGCCACCCTTGCTGCTCATGATGAGCAGTCACTGACTTGGCGACCAGTCCAACTGGCTGCAGTGGGACAACTCACAGCACTACTTAGCAGGAATGAGGAGGGTAGAATCTGGACCTCTCTTTTTGTGGAGTCAGATATTTGAAAGAACTCAGGACCAAATGTTCAAGTGTGCAGCACCTACAACTGGGGCCAGATTTTTTTTTTTTTTTTTTTTTAAACCAAAAAAACGCTCCACTCCCTGCTAGGTACCCAAACATGGAAGGTGCTCAGTGACTACGGTGATGGGCCGCAGCATAAAATCCCTAAAACAGGGAGAGGGGGGTCTGATTTTCAAAATTACTCAGCATCCAGCAAATACTGAACATGCCGAGGGTTTTTTTGTTGTTGTTGTTGAAAATCTGGCTATTTATTTTGGTGCCTAAATAAGAGATAAGCACTTTGGAAAGTCTGGCCACATTGCCTAAACACAGCAGAGGGGTGGGGATCCTTTTGTAAGCCCCTCCCCCATTATTTGTTTTCTCTCCTTGTAATAACACAGCAGCATCTCACAGAAATAGAACTATGATTTTGGAGGATTACCTGTTTTTTAAACAGTTGATCTCCCTTTAATATATTTTAATCTTTTGACAGAGACAAAGATTGCCAAAAAATATGGGAAAAAATGCAAAAGGCGTTTATTTACAAGAACCCATGTAATATTACAATAGAAGATTATCAGCCGTTACTGGATTTGGCGAGTCATCCTATCCCCTGTAACAAGGTAACAATATTTGTGTGTGATGAGCTGTCTGGGTAGGGACTGCTTGTCTGTACATGCCTAGTACAATGGAGATTCTTTGGTTTTGTGCTAGAGGCACTTTACAAACACAGAACAACAGGGTCCTGGTCCAATACTAGGGCTGCTAGGTACTAGGTAACACAAATAATAATAATGATAGCAATCATGAGTGACCCTCAAATACCTACAGGTACTCTGACTTCAGGCTTGAGATAACATTACTCCCAAAGCTACTTCTTTTAGAACAAGAGAATCCTGTTCATTATAGGCCAGTGATGAAGATCATTGTACAGAATATTTCTTCTAGGGACAAGATTTTGGGCCATGATGGGAAAAATCACTGTGGCCTTCATTGCTATTTAGAAGAGAACCTCTCTGTAAGAGCAGCCATGCAGTTAGAGGCACATGGCTTTTTATTGCTCATGTGTGGTTGAAATGCATGCAGAGTGACAGCAATTAGAGCTGGCTAAAAAGTTTCCTTCAAAATGTTTTTTCAATAGAAAAAATTGTGTCCCCCCCCCCAACCAAATTAATTTTTTTTTCTGAAAATAGAAATTTTCATCAAAAACCCCACTGGAATTTTTATATATTTTAAATAGTCAGTTTTTGGTCTTTTGACAAAATCCCCAAAATATGAATGAAAATAAACATTTTCATCATCAAAACTTTTTCTGGAAAAAACATTTCCTGACCAGCTCTTCTATCAATGCCATTTCTTACTCACCATCCTTTCCCTCACAGTCATTATTTTGGAGCAAGACAAATGACCTTGTTCATCGTTATACAAAAACCAATCACAATTTCCTCACTCTGGAGGACACCTTGCTGGGCTATATGGCTGACGGAGTCTCATGGTGTGGAAACCCTTCTAGTCCAGGTAAGGATTCCTTTAAAAAAAAAAAAAAAAAAAGAACCTGGAGTTATAATTTCTTTCACTCACAAATTTCTAATATAAGAAAATCTCTTTTGGAGAGGATACTTTCCATTCTTGGTTTCAGCCCAAAGCAACTGTTGAACCTTTCTACCCTGCCTGAGTTATGGAAAAGTGAAACACACACTCATTTTCAGCTTCATTTTATCAACACTTTTTAGCTCCCAGTAGCAAAAAAAGAGCTCAGCCTAGTGACATATTGTCCCCCCCTTATTGACAGTAATCAGCAACCTACTGTGATTCCAGGGGGACCACTTTCAGACTAAGGCCCCAGTCCTGCAATATGCTCCATTCAGGCAGACTCCTGCACTTGCACAGAAGTCACTGGGACCACATGTAGATATAAGGGGGTTGCTTGTTCACGCTAAGGGCCTAAGAATGAGTAGGGATGTCAGAATCTGTCCCCAAATTTGAGGGAAATTTATAAAAAACAAAATAAAAAATTATGTGGGAAGAGTCACTTCTGAGCATCCCCCCCCACGCTTTTTGTCACATCAATCAGTGCACATTCTCCCTGCTCAGCCTGACCAGGAACAATGTTGCTGGAATAATTTGCATAAGGGGACTGTAAATGCCTCACAGTCTTCCAACCACCTTTAACTTAATCTCCCCCTTAGAACACTTTTCACCTAAGTCTGTTGCTGCGATGGGGCGCAATAGTTATTTTTGCCATTCTTATTCAGCACTGCAGGCAGTATTAAAGTGTCTGACAATTTCTTCTCTAATCTTAGTTATTCTGCATCATATATTTATTTTAGGAATTAACTATGAATCTTGTCCAAAATGGAGTGAATGCGAGAGCAACCCTAGTTCTGTGTACTGGAAAATGGCATCCAAGATGGTAAGGATTATATAGCAACTTCTCCAGGATCACAGTTAGAATCAATTTATCCTTTGGGGGTTGGGGATGTTGAAAGAGGGTAAAATCTTGGCCCTCCAAGCAAGTCAGTGGCAAAATTCCCATAGACTTAAGTGGGACAGGGTTTCACCCAGACTGTGGAAATCTGGGGCTAAAATGCTGAACATCCAAATTTGTCTGGTATGTCTGTTCCATTGGCTAGAAAACAAAGGCTTTGATCCTACAACCAAATCCATGCATGTGAATCCCTGAGTCCCTGCAAGATGCATGGACTTCAGTGGGACTCTGTGCAGACAAGGCCCCAATCCTGCAATTGGATCTATAACTATTAGCCACGGCTCCCTACTTTAATGGCCAGTAGTCTTTTTTTCCTATATTTTTATCATGACCAGTTACATCCTGGAACAATACTTTTAATCAAAATATTTGTGTTTATAACAATGAAAGAAATACAGCAAAGGAAAAAGTGGCTAACAGTTAAACCTTGGAACACAGGCTGATCATCTCAGAGGTCTGATGTGAATTCCTCCTAAACTGTTAGGAGTCATGCCACAAATTACTCAAAATGCCATTTTCCTCTCGGCTTTCACCAAAGACGTTGAATGGATCAAATTCAAACACTGATTAGATTATTAAGAACTGAAAGCTGTGCCATGTGTTTTTTGGAAATACAGGTTTCCCAAGACTTTCACTAAGGTCTCATGTTTCACACAACATTTAATGTCACAATAATTTGGGCATTCTTATTCTTACTTGAATGGGTCCCTCCGTCAGTGGTCATCTTGATATTTGTGTCGAACAGCACCAAGCACAATTAGTTCTTAACAAAAATATTAATTAACCATAATATATATAATTATAGACATCATTCCCTCATACAAATACACAAGATCACAATTGCTAAAACCAATGACTTTTTAAACCTCTGAATGCTAAAAGCATGCTGGAAACTGCTGTAGAGCATGGCTGAGAGAATGAGTGCCTCCTTGTGCCTTTTTAACATAATGAGAAGAACTCCTCTGTGAAGCCCTGATTCAGCAAGGTGTACAGGTAGGTGCCTAACTTGAAGCACATGAGTAGCCCCATTGACTTCAATGAGACTCCACATGCTTAAAGTTATGCAGGTGCTTCAGTACCTTGCTGAATCGGGTCTTACAGAATGCTTATTTAACTCTATTCTGTTAGAGTTCTTTTGGCTAAATCAAAGGTAATTTAAGTTTATTATCAAATCTGAAGATTTAAGAGATGCTGAGTAAGGATATTGGAAACAGAAATGGTTACATGTAAAACAAAGTATAACATGCTTCTTAGAGACTATATTTAACCTTTAACAGGCTAAAATCCTTGTCTAAAGTAGTTTCTCACCGAAGGCAATCTCTCAGCATCACCAACCAACATGGCTGGGATCCACCTTTCACAAATGCAAAAGACACTGTCCTTCTTGCTCTCTCAGTGATGGATACCAAAGTCTCCTTATATTTCCCAAAACTCCTTGTTTTGTCCCCAGATTCAGGATGGCCCTTGTGGTTCCTTTCCTGGTGTGCTGGCTCCAAGTTGCCCTCACAGACTTGTGTTGACTCCATATGCAAAACAGGCTTCTATTGTGTTGGCTTATAATGCTTAATCACATAGGGACCTAGGCAGACAGGTGTTTAGCAAAACCTGTTTGTCAACCCTGCCTGGGACACCGACTCTAAAAATATATTTTCAGTACATATACACAACTGCTTACATATCATCCATCCATCCCTCAAGAGTTATGTGGTTCAGTATGGCCTAAGCTATTATTAGATACCTTACACAATCCTTTTTGGATAAACACTGTGAAAGCAGTGTGTTACATGTAGTCAGTTTGTCAGGCCTGCTAGAAGTTGCTACTACAGAACAGTGAACCCTTTGCCAGTTGGTATTCAGGGATTCTTAGGGTCACAATTAGTTCCCCAGCATAAATTAAGCAGCCTGAGGGCTGCTCTAATTTACACTGGCTGCCAGTAGACCCATGGGCTGACATAGAAGCCAGGGCTCAGGGAAGTCACAGCAATGTCCTCTACACCAGCAGCCAGGAAAACTGTGGCACAGGAGCTGTTATGCCAGCTTTGCACCATCACAGGCTCTCCCTACATGGGGTTATCCAGTTGCGGTTGGTCAATGTAGCTTTAGGGTAACTTTGTACTAGTGAGAGAAGATATGGCCCTTTATTTTCACTGCAATCTTCTGGTAAAATAGTCCAGCAAGAGCCCAGATCCTGGGCTGGTAAACATTGGTGCAGCTCTACTGAAGTCAAAAGAGCTATGCTGATTTACTCTAGCTAAGGATCTGACCCTCTGTTTCATGTAAAGCTAAAGTACAATGTACGTTTGCTTGTTTAGTTTGCAGAAGAAGCATGTGGTGTGGTTCAGGTGATGCTCAATGGATCAATAGAAGCTGGAGCATTCAGAAGTAACAGGTATCTACTTAATCGGTCACTGGCTTTGGCTCTGTCTTACTACTCACTTAGAGACTCTGTACTGGTGCAGGTGTTGGCGACAGTAAATCCCAGTGCAAGACTGGGGCCTTAGAGGGCCAGATCTTCTTCAGCTTTGCTGAATCAGTGTTGCTCTGTTGACTTCTATGGAGCTATGCTAATTTACACTTGCTGACGATCTGGCCCATTATATTATGCATCTTCTGATGCATTTGATTTGGATTTTTTCTGAAAATGGCCACAATCCACAGAACTTTGTGCAGTAAGCCCAAAATGGACTCCTCTGCTATATTACACTCACATGACCGACACATTATAATTATCCTCAGAGTGGATTTCTTGGATTATGCTCCCCCAGAGTTTGTACATCGTTTCAGTGACTGACAGGAAGTGCTGCCTCTGCTAACTCTGAGGGATGAAGAAACTTGTGGTTAGCACAAGCAGAAAGATTCCCCCCCCCCCCCCCTTTAGTAGTGGCAGTCACTGGTAATCTAGACAAGAGAAAAATCATTAGGAATGAAAGAACCTCAGACTGTTTCATTCTGCAAACAGCTCCAAAAGCTCTTAATAAAGCTGAATGAAAATGGGGGGAAATTCCTTTACACAAATTAATTAAATAGTCCATGAAAATCTCATGGGAAAATTATACATTCTTTCCACTGGGAATAACGATAACGCATGAGTATGTAGTAGTGACTGGAGAACATACTTTGTTCATCTTGTTCTAAAGCGAAGATGTGTGTTGCTTTTTCATGCTCCCATTCTTACAGCATTTTTGGAAGTGTTGAGATCTTAAACTTAGACCCAGACAAAGTTTCTACAGTGCAGATTTGGCTTATGCAGAACATCGGTGGACCTCCAAGGTAAAGTTTGCTAGTACAAAATAATGTGTGATGCTTTGTTTCTATAATTTAAAGTGCAGTTCAATTCTGAAACGTGACTAAAAATAGCACTGCCTTACCCATCAACTTTGCTCCTTGAATGCAATTAACTGCTTACTTTAGTGGAAATAATTAATAAAAAGTGGTAAAAATCTTATTAATTATTATTATTATTACTACTATTACTGCCAGCTCTGGTGAGCCAATACAGCTCTGGAAGAGCAAAACGGTTTCCTTTCTGTTAACCTTGCAATTGGATATAGTCATCTCCGTAACCTTGTTGTCTTCAAATTCTGTACCTCTTTACGTCTGTGCAATCCTACAGAGGCCCTACAGATCCTACAGAGGCCCAACAGATTTGTTTAGTGCTCAGACATAAAGAACACAGCTTGGCTGAGTTTGCAAATCTGTGCAGTTGGAAAACATCTTTTTACATGAAAATTGAGCAAATATGCTCTGCAGGTCACTGAGAGGCAATCAGTGCAGAGTAACCATGAAGCCATGTTTTGCCAAGTAATTTTTAATAACAGACCCACAATTTAAATGTTTATTTTTAACTATTCATACCAGACGGTGACCATAATTCACCAGAGAATTTCTGTTCTATATAGGTTTTATAAAGAGCTCATCACCATAGTATCTGAGCCGCTTCCAGTAGTGCATTAAGTGACATGACTAACATCTGTCACACATCTGCTCCCTCATAGTCTCCCCAGGGAGAGAAATACATACAACAGTGTGCTTTGTTTTTGGAATTGTCATTTTATATAATTACACACACACACATTCCTGTATGTTTATGTTCGAGAAGGCAGTCAAAGAAATGCACCTTGCACTTAGAGTAGAAGGTGATGCAGTCTGTGAGGGTCCTCTGTAGGCAAGGGGGATCTTCTACATGGATCCATGGGTGTACACTTTGCACTGATGCACTGGCACAGCATGCCAGCAATGTGTCTGAATCTGGCCCTCTGATCTCAGTTGCTCTGGTGTAAATACAGAGTAACTCCATTTACTTACTCCTGATTTGCACCAGCAGCACTGCTTATTACTTAAGTCCACTAGAGTGTCTGGCCATCAACTGGCAGACGTGACTGGGAATAAGCAGGAAGCATTCTAACAAATGAATTCATCTGGTCACAAAGGGCTCAGCCCCAAAGCAAGATAAACATTATTTTAAGAGAACCCAAAACATGCAGATTTCAAAAATCAAATCACGAGGGGCAAGTAACACACAGAACAGACAACAAATTCCATAGAGGGGCTCTAGTGATTTCATAAACCTAGGGTTGCCAACTGTGTGATCACACAAACCCAACACTGTTGCCCCACCCCTTCTCTGAGGTGTCACCCCATTCACTCCATCCCCTGTCCCACCGTAGCTCGCTCTCCCCCACCCTCACTCACTTTCACCAGGCTAGAACACGGGGTTGGGGTGTGGGCTCTGGGCTGGGGCCTAGGGGTTCGGAGTGTTGGAGGGGGCTCCACTCGGAGCCTGGGTCAGGAGCAGGGTGCAAGCTATGGGAGGGAGTTTAGGTGCAGGGGGGACTCAGGGCTGGGACAGGGGTTCGGGTACAGGAGGAGGTTTGGGGTGCAAGCTGTGGGAGGGAGTTGGGTGTGGGAGGGGGTTTAGGGCTGGAGCAGGAGGCTGGGGTGCAGAAAGGGGTTCAGGCTCCTTACACACACCCTTTACCCCTCCCAGTGCTGCTGCCTCTTCCCCCACTCAGCCTTTATAAAGGTACCACTCAGTAGTAGAACAAAAAGAAGTCTCCTCAGGACTGCAGGCTGAAAACTTGTTGCTTTTGCTCAACAGCATCACAACAGGGGGAGAAGGCGGGGGGGGGGGGGGACTCCCCCACTGACTAAACAGAAAGTAAAGGAGGGGGATGGAGCATGGGGATGAAGTCACCCAGTTAACAGCTTGATGACCACTTTGACAGAGACACACAGCCTCCCTGAATGCCCCTCCCGCCCCACATCGTACTGCTCACTGTCCACACTTACCTGGGGCCACTAGCATGGCTCTTGCTCCCTTCTCCAGAGATATCCCAGAAGCAGAATGACCCTCATTTCCCTCCTCAGCAAAGACAGAGCAGCTCTTACCTCATGCCCTGGAGCCTGCGCAGCCCCTCTGGAGCCACACTTTCCTCCTATGCTGAGGCCCCTCCATCAGACTCACAGCAGTTTCCCCTTCACTCTCCAATTAACACCTCTGGCATGTCAGCTCTGAATGTTGATTTGATTCACATCACATGTGGTGTCAGCTCACAGCTTCAGGAAACTCTTGTGAAGGAGGAGGATTGTATTCTGTTTGTCAGCTGGCCTGTGTTTTGTGGGGCAGTCCTGCATTTGCCCCCATGACCTGTTACCTCGCTGGGCCATTGGGATTGATAGTTTTTTATTATAGTTTGCATCTCCTCTCATGCAGGAGCTCTGTGCCACATGCATGTCTGTCCCATCCCCCGTCCCCCCCACTTTCTTCACTTCCGCATCACTGGAGCCTTAAATGAGCAAGAAAGCTGACCGTGCTGCTACAGACTGGGAATTTGTGAAGCATCCAGCACCACTTTCCTTCTCCCTTTCTCCTTCCTGGCTGCTCTAATCCCAGTTCTTACCATGCTTTGCTGCGCTAATAGCTGTGTTAGTTGCTAATACATTGGTCTAGACCAGGGGTGTGCAAACTTTTTGGCCCGAGGTCCACACTGGGGTTGCGCAACTGTATGGAGGGCCGGGTAGGGGAGGCTGTGCCTCCCCAAACAGCCTGGCCCCGCCCCCTATCCGCCCCCTGACTGCCCCCCTCAGAACCCCCAACCCATCCAACCTCCCCTGCTCCTTGTCCCCTGACTGCCCCCTCCCGGGACCCCTGTCCCCTATCCAACCCCCCTGCTCCCTGTCTCCTGACTACCCCGACCCCTATCCACACCCCTGCCCCCTAATAGACCCCCCGGGACTCCCACCCCCTATCCAACC